GGCGCGAGTGAATGCATGTTCGAAATCTCAATGGCTCCACCGGCTCAGACATCAGTAAATTTCATGCTTATACCGCGGCCCATTTCTGCGGCCCCTTTGACGGTGGTGGAGGACATGCTACCATGTCTGGCGTGCCATACGTGGCCCGGTCATGTCACGCGTCGAACCCCTCCCCAGCCCCAGCGGCGGCCGCGCAACTGGTCGTGATAAGGCGCAACTGGCGGCCGTCGGCAGCCTTTCGGTCGGCCGGCACGCCCGCGGCGACCCTGAATGGCGCTCTGGTGACACACGACCGTCTTACCGCCGCTGGCCCGGCCACACCCGCGGCGGTGACCGCCTGTCAACATCGCGCGGGGTCGCGAAACCGCCCGGCGCACGCAGAACGGTTACGCCACGGGGCGGAAACGGCCTAAAAATGCGTGGAGTTACGAGTACGGGGCCTGGGGCACGCGAGGTGGCTAGGGGTGAGAAATTAAGAACCCGTAAGCAAGATATTTGTATGTAAGTGGAATGCTGATTGCTGTTTCTGCCTGGTAGTTTATAACTTCTTTGTTGACTGTCTTTAGATCGGTTTGGTTTGCACAATTCTTTCAAAGAATGTGACCCATGCATTCGACACACGAGTGGTTCGGTATCTAGAGCTGCCCAGTGGCCAACACTATCAGGATTATTGTATTGTTACGCCTCGGGCGACCTTTCTTTACATTGTTTAGCCCGGCTAATAGGAAGCCGAACAAGGTCATCTTTCTCTCGCGCGTTGTAAGGTGTAACGGCCGGCGACCATTTGGGTCAGGTCACCTGATCGCCCTATCACTAACTGTGGTATTGTGGCCTATAAGGGCAAGTTTTTTTTGGCTCAATATCGGCAGCGATCTGAGTTCCATAACATATGCTACCCCCTGTAAAGTGGAGCTGGGGTGAAAACGTTCGCACCTGGGTTACGAAAGGCATAGTTCAGTGCGTTGATGTTTTATTATCTCTCCCCTTCACGGAACGTTATGCGCCAAACTCCATATATGTAGAAGCGGACATTGGGGTTCAGATTGTTATTATGAGTAAAATATAAGTCATTTTCTTCATTAAACGGTTGTTTCTCTATGCGGCGATCATTTATGAAGCACGCCACACTTTGTTACCAACGAGCGATATCATAATAGCTCCATTTTTGGCAGTATACTGGCTGCGGCCGAGTGCGACGGTGGCGCCGACTATCGGCTACTCGTGCAACTAGGCCTCGCGGTGGCTCCGGCGGCCAAACTTCAGATGAAAACGTCCCTGTGTGGAGACTTAACGATAAACTGAAAAATGCGATATAATGCAATTAAATTCAGTAATATGCGTTTACCCTGACGTATTTTTTACCAATATTCGGGGAGAATTGGCACCGGGATTTGGCAGGAGAAGATAAAATGTTTATGAACATTCCAAATTGTATTATACCTACATTGCATTGTCAAAATATGTCTCAATATATGCGAGACGTCATGCTGTTTGCCGTAGTATAGCGAAATTGTTTCATGAAAGACTCAATACAAATATAACGGGAGTGATGTATCTTAATTTCATTTGGTGGTGCAAATATTTTTTTCTTCCATGTCCCGATCCCGGGTCGAATTTTTCTCTCCTATGGATAAAAAGTGCAGAGATGTGTTGCTCAGTTAGTGAGCTACAGCGTAGTATAGCGACATTTTTATGTAAGCTGCCTATTTTTTCATACTCTAGTTTCCACGAAAATCCGTGCATACACTGACCAATATTTTTTTTCCATGGCCAGATCCCAGGTCCAATTTTTATCCGCTATGGATAAAAAATGCATAAATATGTTGCTCAGATGGTAATCTACAGCGTAGTATAGCGACATTTTTATGTAACTACCCTATTTTTTCATACTGTGCTCATTTCCACGAAAATCCGTGCTTACGCTGACCAACATTTTTCTCTTCCATGGCCAGATCCCAGGTCCAATTTTTATCCGTCATGGATAACAAATACATAGATATGTTGCTCAGATAGCGAACTACAACGTAGTATAGCGACATTTTTATGTAACTTCCCTATTTTCTCACACTGTGCTCATTTCCACGAAAATCCGTGCTTACACTGACCAACATTTTTTTCTTCCATGGCCAGATCCCGGGTCCAATTTTTATCCGCCATGGATAAAAATACATAAATATGTCGCTCAGATGGTGAACTATACCGTAGTATAGCGACATTTTCATGTAACTTTCCTATTTTTTCACACTGCGCTATCACCCATCAAAATCCGTGCTCTCACCGACCTTAGTTCTCTGGCGTTGCCGATAGGCGGCGCTGGCGTCGCGTCCCGCGCTATGGCCGCGCCTGGCGCATAACGATATTTTGAGTGCCTGACTTGAAAAGATCTACAAAATCCATGTCACTGTTCCAACGACTAAATTTTGGATGTCCAGAATTAGGTACCTAATCAGAAAATTCAGATTGTAAATTATGGCAGTCCTAATGTTGTCAGAACAGTATGTGCGTGATTAAAGACAACATTTTGTTTTGTGTCAACGCCCAGTAACCGCAGACCGCAGCAGGTGCTGCCATTGCGGTGTCGCTAACTCGGCCCACTACGATAGCCGTTCGGACGGTCGCGCCGGTCGGGGGGTCAGCCCCGGTGCCCGAGGGCGTGTCAGTACGATACTACGCTGACCAGGAAGGGGTCAGGGTCAGTTGTCCCGGCCCGACACGGCCGACAAGGGTGTCTTTCAGCGCCGTCCGGGTGAGGCACAGCCACACCAGTCGGCGCCATTAGCACATCAAAGAGGTGCACGGTGCGTGGCGGCCACGGTCGTCACGCGTGCACGCACACCCCAGTCCCCTGATACACGCACCAGTGGTGTCACCGGCCTGCCGATACCCCACCGGATACATTTCGTGGTGTGTAGTGTCTGTGGAACCCTGTACGCCAGGGGACGAGCCGGTGCGGGGAGGTCGACCGGCGACCTCGACCTATTGTGAGACCTGGATGGCACTGGGGACACAAACAGGGATCACTGTCCGCCTACAGCTGAGGCTGAACCGCGCGCCATTCGGCCGGGTGCTAAGCATGGTGTCGGTGTATGGAATTAGCTGATATGTTGTTCGCAGCATGACGACATCGCGATGCTGGCGGGCGGGCTATGACAGTACCAAATGGACATATTCGATTGAATGCAGATGAACGTTCTGGAGCATCAGTTTAATTTCATGTCATGGAATACAATAACCAATATAAGAGTAATTTTGTGACATGTTCCCAAAACTACTTTTGCTTCCATGTTATTGTTGCCATTTAGATTTGCTGTTCTACGGATGCCCGAGCCCCGCGTTTTTAGTGTTTCTAATGAGCATGCCATCAGCCACTCAATCAAACTGGATGGCTAAATTAGCTCATGGGTCTTGAAGGAAAATTCGGAGGTGCCTCCTATGCGTGTTGGCCCCGACCTCGACTCAGAGGTGGTATACCACCAGACCTTCAGTGGCGGCCGTACACAGGGTCTTGAGGTGGTACTGAGGTGGTGCCGATTTCCCGTGGCGCCACCTACCCAGGATTTAGTGGCCGGTTCTGAGGCGGTACCGATTTTCAGTGGCGCCACCTACGTGGGAGCTCGGAGCCGGCACTTCGCATGCACTTGGGGGCACTTCGGTGGTACAGATTTCCAGTGACGCCTCCTTACCAGGGCCCTGTTTCACCGGTGATAGCAGCACGCTGCTATCACACGTGTCAAATTGGGTTTCCATGGAAACATCAACAAACCATGCCGTCGTCAATTTGTGTGATGTCATCAAATAGGTATTGCTGCTTACATCTTCAGTCTTCACGGCCGTGCGAATGTATTAAACGCATTCAACGAGGCAGCAACTCTGTTCCAAACGTAGCTATGAAAAAGCTCACGGATTACACGAAACGTCATTAGTGTGACGTCATCACATTACGTCAGCTCGCGCAATTTGATAGTAGCGTGCTGCTATCACCGGTGAAACAGGACCCAGGTCGTCTCTAAGGTGGACTGATGATAAATGGTGAATTGATGCACTTCAAACTACCATCCTTGTTTGCGCCACCTACACAATTAATTTGGATCGATGTAGCTGGTTTGATCAAGAAAATTTTGTTTGTGAAAATTGGCTTTGTTAATGTGTAAAATGTGGACGATGTGGTTGAAATTCGTCCTATTCTGGAAGGATACGAAGTTGGAAAGAAGTGGAACACATCATCAAGATCATACACTTTCACTCATCAGCCAATCAAGAAATGAAACATCAACATGCATTGCCATAAAACGACAACAAATTTGACAGTGATAGTTGAAAGCTGAAAATGAAGGCTGCATAGATATGGCAAGAGGTGAAAACAACACATCCAACTTTTCAAGCGTCATGCATTCAATCAGTTGTTTACCCATAGCGTAATTTCAATAAATCCTAAACAGTAAACACACAAGTTACGTTACATACGTTAATAGATGTAGAGACATTTGTGCTATGAACTGCAATGTAGATAATAATTATTGCCTGGAAATAGCAGGCCGGTCTCCCTCATGAAAAATAACTGAACCAGATCTTTTTGTAGAGCAGTGTGTGATAAAGACCCAATCGCAAATGCATGAAGTGAATTGTGGCAAAGCTTGAAAGTCTGGGCATCGTAGTTGAAAGGTGGTCCCGGTGGTCGTATTAAAAATGGGCTTTTGATGTTACTGAACGGACTCTCATGGCACGATGACTGAAGGGGGAGGGGCTTTTGACAGGTGATTGAGAAAAGTAAGTCCAGGGGCAGCGCAGTAATTATTGGACCCATCGGGACTGATTTGGTAATGAACTGACCGAGCCCCTGTGTTGTGACTGGAGTGGAACCGATTGCCTGCGATTTTACAACTGTGACTGAGTGAGTACTGAGTAGTGACTGAATGTGATTGTGACTGATTGACTGAATGACTGAATGACTGACTGAATGGTTGACTGACTGACTGACTGACTGACTGACTGTGACTGACCGAGCGGCGGCGGCGTTAGGAAGTCGAAGATGCCCCTCATCTGGGCCGGACTGTACTCGGGCTCGGCCGTGTTCCACGCGTGCTCCGGCTGGATGATGAGCTGGTCCCGGGGCGGCGTCAGCACCTGGTGCAGCTTGATCAGACGCATCAGCTCCAGCTCGTCCAGCGCGTTCACGTCCTCGATGGTCTCCAGCATCAGCTGGGTGTAGTTGGGCCCTGCGCCGACAGGTGGCGGGCGGGTAGAGGGCGGACAGGCGCGGCAAGACATGGCAGCGGGGCGACGGGTGCACAGAATGTGAAGTGGTGGCCTCATATTCAAATTCAGATTGACATGAGTGTTTCGCTCGGAATTTCTCTGACTCTTGAGAAGTGTTTGAACAATTTTAACGCCCACAATTTGACGCTGTCGTTATCAAAGGTGCGAGAAATGTCGCTGCGAGAAATGTCCATAGTAATCCGGCCAATTTAACCAATTAAAGACGTGGAAGTGATATGCTCATGTCAAAATGAATTTGGTACATACATTGCCACAGTCATGCACATTTCACAAAGTTGTGTGAGCAATCACAGGGCGAGCGAAGATGTGTCATGGCGTATAAAATGACCAAAAATGCCAGTGCTCGTTGCTCAGCTCAGTAAATTGCATTGGAAGAGCTGAATGAGGTGTTGCTAAAGAAGGCAAAGACTGCACAGTGCACATGTAAGGGCGCCCTAGCATCGGTAAATGTACTTAGTAATTCAGATGTAGGTAGGCGCACACAAGCCGATTTGAAACAATCTAAAGATATAATTAGCAAACATGCATACACTCACTCATAGAACATTAATTTATTCTCATACTTTCGCAACAGTGTTAAACCTACTATCGTTTAGGCAACGCACAGAAGGGTTTGCTACTCGAATAATTCCCGCAGTAAATATTTTCGTTTATCATCGGGCGATTGCTGAGTCATCGGTATACATACTGCTGTGTGCAATGTGCATGTGAGGCCTGATGGCTCAGAGGCTCAAAACGTTGTTAGATGGATTTAAACACTTCTTTTCCGCATCCGAAATAACCCAACATTGCGAGCTGATCTATAAAAGCAATGCTTATACATGTAGGTACAGGGACCCGCAGTTGCTACTGTACAGCGACCCTGAGTAAATTGTCCCAGCACCCTCACAGGGAACAACGATAAGCTGTCAGAGGGTACTCACAGGAAACCTCAGCTGCTCTTGTACAGGGACCAGCAGTCGATATCAATGTTATCGGTTGTTACTGGACAGGACAGACGGTTAGACTTTGGGTTCGTGTACAGTAGCAACTGCGGGTCCCCGTACATGTACATGTATATCCCGGCAGTTGCTGGGGTATTTCGCCACCCACCGTTTGCTGGGGGGGGGGGGGCGTTAAACGCCCCCAGCCGATAACTCGAGAACCAATAGGCGCAGCGAAACGCACGAGGCGGCAAACGAAAGAACGCGACGAGACGCTTCAGATGAGTACTGTAAAGTTGAATTTTGAGGTCACAGGTTGGGTCAAGGTCAGGTCAAACACCTGAAATCGGGCTTTCAGTAGCATGGACTTCAGGACTTCGCAATGGGCGCCTCTCGTCATAAACTCTGTCAAAATGGTGCACACTCCATCATATAAGGCCTACAAGAGTGTCAGCTCCATGTAGGGGTCAGTCAAGCATAGGTCAGGGTCAAGGTCAGGGTTGAAAAGATTGAAAAGAGCGCGAGCTCAAATTGGGATCCGAAAACATTGTCCGTTATCCCACCAAGGAAAAAATCAGTTTCGATATTAAGTGAACACAGAAGGCCGTATACGTTTAGGTAGGCAGATCAACACTGTACCGCACATAATAGCAGAAAGCAATAGCCCTATTACAAGAAACGCATAAAAAACGAGGGGTAGGGAGCTATATGCCCTCTGAGTTGGATTGGTGTCCCTTTAGGGAGTGTCGCCTTACAACGACCTGCCGCGGTTGAAGACCGCCTTATTCTCCTTTGCCTGCGGACCCGGCCTCCCTCGGCAGTCTGCGGGCTGCACCGGAAACAGACTATATTTAGCATCCGGCACGCTGAAGCTATTTATATAACTACATGGCTGCTTAAGTGCCGCCGCCGCCTTCCCGTTACGTTACTCGGCGGCGTGACGGCTCGTCCCGTCATGGACTGTCACACGGGTGCCAGCCGATATCTCACTTATTGTCACAGGCTCTGCAGGGACGATACATGTTTTACAAGTAACAAGTCTCATCTTACATGCTCGTCTTGGTGCTAAGCATGCAATTGAAATACCTACTCCTATAAGATACCTATGCTGCAGACTTGCAGAATGTTTGCAAGTATAGATAACCACAATAAAAACCGTAATAAGTGACTTTGGAAAACAATCAGTTATTGTGTCCGGCATCACCTTTTCTTCAGAAGAAAACTAGATTTGCTACAAAGGACCTAAGCTCAGAATCTCTGCTGTTCTAAAACTGCTGAATAATGTCAGTTTTATGTCAAACTTTGTCCACGGAAACTTAAGTGGCAAGGTTTCTCCCTGGTTGGACGCGTGCCGGCTGTCGTTTATCCGTGGAATCTTTCCTCATTAGGAGGACTCGGACAGCGTAGAGAAACTCCCTTGTGTTTGAACGCTCTCACCCGTGGCTTACGCCGGTAACAAAAAGCGAACCCCTTTGGAGACAGAACTAGGTTGGCGTTATAATACTTTATAAACGGATCATCATTTCCTTCTTTATTGCCATCTGGTGATGTCTTTTGCTTCTTACCCCAAAATTGAACATTTTCCGGCTCAAATGTGAGATTGGGTGATCCGTGGCGACCAATTTCTCCTCGGGGCCCGCGGCCATTGTTGAGCATTTCCGATCCGCTTCAATCCCCTCAAAAACTGGGCCACGCGGGCCCACGAGGTGGCCGTTGAGTCACTGCGGGGTATCTGACCTACAGTCCTCCGCAGCGCGGGGCCAACAGAAATAAACTGAGTAATATGCGTGATTGTGCCATTGTGAGACAGTTTTTTAATTAGGCTGGACGTCTGTCGGTGATAACTATTCCCGATCGGCCGGTAGGTACTAACATGTACTAACCAAAGACCAGGAAATTCGCGCACATATACCTACTCTTAGAGCCGGTGGTCTGGTATCATGGAGATACACCCGTGAGAAAATACTCAATCGAGTGAAATACATAAACTCAATAATCAGTAGGCGCGCTGCAAGCATAATCTTGAATTTGCTAGCCCGTTGGAGATAAGGAAACATTTCAAGATGTTTTGCCATCTTCATTGATAATCGGCGTTTAGCGCAGCTAGGAGCTTTTTCCAATCGTATACGAGCGAAAAATTTTGTGGTACCATGACTTCTCTGTTTGGCCCTCTAGGGGCAATGAACCAGCGCGCGGCCGCTGCGCAGCCAAGACGTCCGTCGCGGTCACGTGACTTAGGCTAGGGGACGCGCGCCCGCGATAACGTTGTGTCCCATTTCTGCCTGGTCTGTCTGGCGACACACGTGTTGCCGTCCGCCTCCCCGCCGCCGCCATGTCATGTTGTTCGCTTGTCGCGTGTTATACCTCATCGGGCTGTCACCTCACCCAAAGACGCTGTTTTCGTGAGAATATAGCCCCGAATCACTTTTGCACCGTTTTTGCTAGCGCGTAGGACCATTGGAAAATGTTTGTTGTTTACCTTTTCCTCGATCGGCAGCAGCGACCAGCATTGCTAGTGCGTCTGCCCAGTCGGCACGGCTCGGGTGTGAATATTCACGGCGTAGGCTACCGCAGGTTTTGTTCACGCTCTATAAAGGTAACTATGAACTCAGTGTGAAACTGACCGCGTCACCCTGCTAATTAGCAGTCTGCCAGCTCTCCTATGTATTTTATTAGGCATAGATGGTTCTTTAAGGGGCATTCCACGTCAAATCAAACACCGAAATCCGTCATCCCCTTCGATTTTTCTGAAAATTTGTAGGCAGACTGGGCATGGTTCAAAACTGAGTTGCGTATAATATTTTCGAAATTTGATAACGTATCGCTGAGATATAGGTCATCGAATATAGCGAAAAATGCCACACATCAATTTTTTAAATGGCTATAACTCTGGTTCCTTTTCTGGTATCAAAATGATATGAACAGGGTCTTATAGGCAATTGATAAGGCTTTGATTTTTAATTACAAAATTAAATTGAAGTGACCTTGAAATGCATTTGACCTTGAACTAAAACAGAAAAATTTAAATAGCAAAAAAACACGTCTCCTTTGATTTGGGTAATTTTTACATATTATGTCCGTCACAATGTTCCTAACCATCTGTGAAAAAATTGGAGTGGGCCATTCATAACTTTCGCGGCAAGCGCCGTTTTCATGCATCAACATCACGCAACCGCGCGTGACCTTGAAAGACAGAGTCAAGACATGCTTGCTTGTGTACACTTTCTGAAATGAATGATTGCTGATTAGTGATATCCCAAACTCTGCGAGAATGGAAATGCATAGTCATCGTAGTCAAGCATTCACGTTCCATAGTAAAAGTGTCTCAGGCAAACGGTATTTTGCGGTGAATTTTGAGCCGTGTGGAAATGCATCATGAAGTAAATTCAAAGAAAACATTATCACGCAACGATATCTTCACGTCTTTTGATCTTCACTATACGAAAGAACATACATTTTTTAGTATGTATGGGGAATTTCTAGTTAATCCAATAATAAATATGGCAGTTAGAGGCCTGCTAAGAGTAACATGTCGCCGGCTGAGGCGGGCTCGGCCGATGCGGGAAACGCAGCAATCACAATTTTGTGTTTACACGTTCATATTTCAATTGTTTACCAACCGATTTTCAAAATTCTTTCACCATAAGATTGCCTGTACATTTCTTAGTCTTCTCACAAAATTTGACGCGAATCGAACGTAATCAGCGGTAGGGAGCGCGATGTAAAGACGGAACCGTTCCGTTCCGTCCCGGCACAGTCTACAATTCAGGCGGCGCGTAGCGGTCGGCGCCGGCTGCAGAGTCGCCGCGTCGCTGCGGCGACAGGATGTTCACTTTACACCGCTATTACTAGAACAGTTGTGAACCGATTTTCTTATTGCTTGCACGATGAGATGTCCAATTCAATTCTTGACAGGTAGCCATAATTAATTTCGCATTAATCTTATGAGATATTGGCGAAAAACAGGAGGGGTGGGCGAAATTCGCTCTTCCCCCTCCACTGCGCATGCTAACATACGTTTGTATATGTCCAATTTTCTTCAAAACTTATGAATGGCCCACTCTAATTTTTTTTCACAGGTTGTTAAGAATATGGTAGGCAATAAAATATATGAAAATGAGCCAAATCGAAGGTGACGTGTTTTTTGCTATTTCAATATTTGTGCTTAAGAACAGAGTTAAGCAAATTTCAAGTTCATATATTTAAGTAGGTGCAATTCTAAACAAATACTTAAGAAATTACCTAAACAGTAAGGTTTATTTCATTCAAATCAAACAAGTACAACCAAAGTTATGGTCGTTCAAAAATATAAAGATGCAACATTTTGTAAAAATTTGATGCCCTATATTTAGAAGACCTGTGGTCAGAATGTGCAAAAAAACATCAATGTAATGTCCGGGGCCACACAGGAACTCGCTCACAAATTTATAATGAAATCGCTGATGGTAAGGTGCAAAACAGCCGATTTTTGTTCGATTTGACGTGGAATGCCCCTTTATCTCTCCGAGGTAAGTTCAGAATATGTTTTCCAAGCGGGTTACCAAGAATTGCATCTCAGAGGAGTGCGAGATGGAAATAATTATGCACTGCAGGCCCAATGACGTATAAACATTTACACATAGAAATAAATGTGTATTTCATTTAACTTACACTGACTACTGAGTCACGTTATAGGCTGCACGATACGGTTGGAACTTTGCAGCTATCAAGCGTCTGTCGCGACATTGGCCTAGATGTCCACTCACGCATTCTACTACACGGTGCGTCTTTTACATCTCATTGTCAGCGTTACAATGCTGGAGGTCATCTGCCTCGTTCAAACGACATCCATTGTTCGCTTTGTACAGCGATGCAAAGTGTCGCCTAGTATATTTATCTGCGCTGATAGTACTACGTGGATCATTCAGTTTTATCAGGCAGACGTGTAACACCCAGTGTATCCTATAGCTTACATATTTGTTTGAATGTGGTTCAGAGGTTCGGCTATGACATTTTTTTTTGCTCCGCCAGCCTAAAGCCAGTCTGGAGCCGGGGGTCATTACCATTTACAGAATCTGCTCGTGCGCACGCACAGATGCATGTACATATGTATGGTTAGCAGGGTCGCGGAAACTACTTTCAGACTGGGAGGGGGGGGGGAGCACACCATAATAGAGATCAATCTAGGGTTCCCCCAAATCTAGTTTTCTCACCGGTTTTAGGCCACTTATTTTTCATCCCTTGGCTTCTTCAACAAAAAGAAAACATTTGTAATAAAGTGCAGCATTCCGTCTCAAAGTTGTGGGGGCACCGCCCCCCCCCCCCCACCGCCAGAGTTGGGGGGGGGGGGAGCTGCCCCCACTGCCCCCCTCCCCACGGTTCCCGCGCCTATTATTATTATCTGCCTTCAAAGTCAATGAGTATTCATCAAGAGTAAACAGCACCAAACCGAGGGTAGGTAATATGCAAAGCTTTTACACCTGGTGATAAAAATGCGTTACATATCGATTCGGGACACAGGGAACTTCGTAAACCAATCAATCTCTCTAGTGTAGAGGAATGCTGGTTGAATCAATCGTCTTTTATGGTTAAATCATGATACGAAGCCAGTCTCGGCTCTATCACTGTATCGCCCTGTCGCCCATTTTCCCGCCTCCGCCACTCACCGGCCACTGTCCTGGCGACGTCGTAGAAGTTGATGCCGCGGCCGACGGCTCGACTCCGGCTAACCACGTCCTCGATCTGACGCTGCTTCTTCATGACGGCCTCGAGCCGGTCATTGAGGTCACCGAGGTCAGCCTGGGTCACGGCCGCCAGCAGCGTGGTCAGCAGCACCGCCGCCGCTATCCGGCGCACCAACCTCATCGCGCCCCGACCTCTGCAACAGAGAGCACGGTCAGACGGGGTCAGTGGCAGTGGGGACACACGGTAAATACGGACAGGGCGGGGAGTGGTGTCAGCCGCATGGCGCACCAGACGCTGATCAACGGACTGACGTGTTGTAGAGGTCAAACAAGTCGGTGTACGACAAGGGGGTGCATGGATATACAAAAAAACATTATATCTTCCTAAAATCAGCACGTTGTTGAATCAAATGAAAAAAGTCCAATAATTCAAGGGAAAAGATTGACAGGTTCCAACAATGTGGTTTCCAACCGTCTAAACCCTCCAACCGTCTAAACCCAGATAAGTTCGACGGGAGAAGAAATGTAAGGGATAATGTTTGAGTGTAATCTTTTATAGGTATTTTATTATAGTTTTTGTTGCAGGAAGCTTCTTGTTGATAAGCTGGAAGAGACATGAACATGACGAGCATGATGTTATATGTACATGCAAAAAAAAAAAAAAAAAAAAACGATGGCAGATAAACACATTGCTGTCGGATTCCAACGCTCTTGAAGAAATTGCTCTTGACTGAGTACCGGGTAACCAGGACTGATTTGATATAGCAGAACCTACTATCCAATCACTGTTCCTGTCCGTACCTGGTCTTTCTGTGTCGCACTCAGTCCCGGACCGCTTCTCTATCGGAGCTACGCGGCTGTTCAATTCCCACGTGGTGCGTCGCTTCTTCAGAACCTCAACCGCGCAGTGACCGTCCCTCTTCTCCGGTCCCTCCAGAGGCGTCTGGCAGCCTAAAGTCCCTCTCACACGCCTTACTATTGCACCAGCACTGTCAGCACACCGCCACGAGCCGCCGCGACCGCTGTGCGTCACCCCACCCTCACCGCCGGACGAAGCGCGTCTGACACCGTTCGGCCCTCTGCGACCGCGCGCTGCCGACCTCCGCGGCCCGACGTCCGTTTTCGCAACGGCGCGGCGCGTCCATCGGCGGCAGCGGCCCGTGACGCCGGTGCTGAAAGGAGCCACCCGTCTCTGGGCGTCTGCTGCCACCCCGTGACGTCATGGTCGGCCACCGGCCTGCATCGGAGCACCTTTGTTTCGTCCCACCTTGACACCGACCGCGACGAACGGGGGCGACGGGGGCGGCTGATGAGGGCGATATCCAGATAGATTACCGGGGAGAATAGGACGCTGCTGACCTTCCCTGGAGGGCTATTGTGCGCCGGGGGTGGACGGTGGGGCGGCCGGCGCGTCGGTCACGGCCGGGGCGGGTGACCGTGTCAACAGGTCAGCCGTGTCGGTGGCTGTGGGGCAGGATGTCCGTCCGTGCGCTGGGCTGCCGGAGACTGCGGCGGAGACTTGGCCGCAACACCGTGCCGGCGCGGCCGCCACGGAGAGCACTCCGCGATGTCGCGAGGAAGGCTGATACAGATTAGGTGCAGAGACGGCAAGAGGGGCCGATAACTGGCGCTGGTAGCTGCATTCAGACAGGGAACTCAGACCCGACAGTGTTGGATCTCCTTGACTCCTTTTGCCTGATCTTGGAAGGCTCATATTCCTAACGATACTGTTTGGAAGATCTGTTACTATGCTGAAAAGTTAGCATTCTTTCCGTGGTGCTTATGTAGAGATGTGCGAATGTGGTCGGGTGAATGCTCTTTTGCTTATTTGTGTCCTTTTATCTTTACAAATAAGCAGGAGCATGCATGTCAAATGCTCATCCTTTATGCAGCTGCATGATTATGCTTACGTGGTTATTCTGGTACACTTATTAAAAAAGTTGTTTTGAAAGACCGACAGTGCTAATAGCCAGACTTTTAACGAGGATGAGTATTGTTGGGGTTTGTTGAGTAACGATTGCTGCACTGGGAGCCAGGGTTGTATACGACTCAATCAATAGCAATCAATTCAATCACGACAAATTTGGGAAACCAATCAAATCAATCAAGTCAGAGCAGTTGTCGGGAATTGATTCAATCGACTCAAACGCGCCAATGAAAGGAATCAATCAACTCAATCAAACGACTCAAACCAAGATATACATTAGGTTTTTTGCCCCACCAACTTGGAAAAGTGTCCATAGCAGTCTAGTGTACCTACCTACCTAGCGACCTACCTACAGAAGAAACATAAAAATATTGTCATTTAAAATTAAAAATTACCATGCCATTCAAAGTTTCTATGTCATAAGGAAGGATACCTAGTGATGGACAGGTGGATCATGATATTGAGGTTCAATGGGTAGAATTGGAGTAGAAGTTTCATTTAATGGGTGCAAAATAACCCAGTAGTTGACTCGCCCCTTAACCCAAATCACCACCTTTCACCTAAAAGTTGTCAATTTAATTTTGGCCATATTCCAGCTAAGTCATCAGGCCATCTACCTCATGTAAAGCCCCTGTCTGTCTCTTATGTGAGTTATGCGGAGCTCTTCTGAAATGAATCCTGAACATAATGAACCTAGCTAGGTTTCATGCCACACTGACACCATATGAAAGTGTTGAAAATGTGCTACAAATTTGACAACTTCATTAGGTATGCTTTATGAAGACAGCAGGAAAGCAGGTAGGTACCTATAGGCTTACCTGCCTAGATGTGTCCACTGGCTACCAACAGTACTAACGAAGGTAGTGACCTGTGAAGGTACCTGTGAGGTAGGTCAATCATTCCTTCCTTTCCTTATTAATATAGCCTGTGATGAATCTGGTACATTTATGAAGTAAAGTTGATAAATTGCAAGATCATAGTGAAGGAAAATTAAAACGCGAAAACGGGACGGTGAGACTGCGTTTTTTGCCAATAAGTATGCTAAGCTTTTATAAATCCTTATTCTACCTCTTTTGATTTTTTTGGTAAGATGACGTCATTGATTATCATGTAGTATGGTAGCTCATCATAAAATAAATCGGTTGTACAACACCAATTTCGTTTTGATTATGATATCATTTGAAATAAAACCACTATTAATAATATTCGGTAAAATATTTTAAGGAAAATGAAATACATTAAATATGTTATGCTTAGGCTCTCAGGAGAAAAGGATCAACAAACGTTCTGCTGCAAATTAAACAATGCAGCAAATTAGCTATTAATTAGGCCCGTAAACGTAATTAGCGAGACGAAAACGGCGCTTTTGTTTCAGTTATTTTTGTAGGGGTTTCAGATATTTATAGAGTTCAGTGGGTTGTTTCTGAGGAGATGTGGAGGTGTGAATTATTAATTAATCACACTTTATTAGTATATAGGGCCTTGCACTTGATCATCTGGATTAAAAAAAAAAAACGTTTCCTGCTGAGTGCAGAAAGGTAGGTAGGTGCATCGCCAGGTTCTATCACCAGGATTGGAGCAGTTATTGCAGTTGAAAGTCAAAGTTGGCTGTTCATGTTTAGGCCCTGTTCTTTATTTGGCCTTCTACCCCATATTGCAGTTGTGATGACAAGCAGTTTTCAGTGTAGTTTTGTGATCTTAGATGTCATCAATTGGTGTCATTATTTTTCGTCAACTAAAACTTATTTGAACTTTCCATTCAATCGACTCAATCATACGAGTCACTCTAATTTTCGGGAATCAAATCAGTCAACCAGTCGCTAAAGCCAAACGAGTCAGTCAACCAGTCATCTCGAAAAGTCAATCGACTCAATCCAATCAACTCAAAATACGCGTTGAAACAAATCAATCAATTCAATCGACTTGATTGGTATACAACCCTGCAGTGGGAGCACACTGCCGGTCACGGGTCTTGCCGTATAAATCAGCATTGGCCCATCCCGCCAACCAACAAACGGGCCCGGTGAGCGGTCCTGATGTGTATATCTGAACTGGTGGTTACTTTCCACTGTTTGTAAATGCAACATACCAGGAAATCCATCGGGCCTTGTCAATTACCCCCACGCTCATTGCATACATGACATGCTAAAATACCATTTACAGAGGATGCCTTTCAACTGAAAAAATGCCAGAAGCACGGGAGTGATGGATGCGCTTTGTGTGTGTTTTTTGTACCTAAATAACATGCTGGCCAGACAGTTGACCAATTCCCTCATTTGTTCATGTGACCCGTGATTATCTGGGCTGACCCGGAGCCGCCGGATGGGCTGGTTACCATGGTAACGGGACGCACTCGGTCAGCGGAGGGCGGCGGGACGAGACGGGCCGTCGCTGCTGCTGGCGTCACGCCGTCTGGGCTCACGACGGTGCCAGTGACGGGCGGCCGCGTGCTACCCCACTCCGCTCAGGGTAGACGCACTCAACTGGCAACGCGGGATGAAAGGTTACCGGAAGCGAGCGGGCACTTTCCAAATATGATTGGGGTGACACGCGCGCCCGTTCGTGCGCGAGGAAGCAGCGCGCGCGGCCCGCTCGCGGCATGCGCTCACTCACGCAAAGGGGTGTGTCTGACGTAACTTGTAAAAAATACGAATGCGTGATATTTGTGATGTGATGTGATCGAAACTGGATGTGATGTGATCGAAACCGGAAGCAAGCCTTTTGTGTCCACACGAACGATTTCTGAATGATAAAAAACATCACGGTTGAATTTGATTAATTAATCATCATGGATAAATCTGTTTTTTTACTAGCCATTGTAGCAAATATCCCGTTCCTCGACACCAATACAAGCATAGCAGTTGTCTGCCATCCCGTAAGTCATTGGCAATACTCACCCACCCATCTATCTCCACACGGAGCTCAGATGGGTGTCTCGTCTCCCCGACCATTGCCTCTGCCCGGGCCGCGGTGTCACGGGGTGTCACCCTATCCGTGCTTCTATCCTCAGGATACTGAAATCCTTCTCCTCCACGCCGCAACCCCCCTCCGGGCTGGACAGGCAACTTTATCTCATGCGGGCTGCTCCCTTGGAGCGGCACCGCTGCTCCCGAGGGAGCGCACCCCGTAGCCGGGTGCAGTGAGTGCCTTGGGGCTGGGTGGCCTGTCTTCGGACGGGCTCAGCCCCGGCGACTCACTAGGATGCCTGCCCAGACCAATGTCTCCCCCTAATTCCTATCATCCTTCCGGCTCTGCAATGGTCTTCTC